ATTTGAACACATTTTTTGAAAATAAGCATCGTAAGTTCATATTTTAATACGACGGCCAAACAGTAGGTTAAAAAAAGTTGATTTAGGTATATTGACTGGATTTTTTTAAAAAAAAAAAATCAAATGATAATTAATCTTATAAATATTAATCTGCTGGGACATGCATTGGCAATTGACATAGCTATGTAGATCGAAGAATGATCGGTTGAACATCTTTCATTAAAGATAATATTATATACATAAAAGATAAAATTATTTTTTTAATCAATATATATCAATTTTAAATCTAATCAGTGAAATTCCTGACTTCATTCCGACATCGACATATAACATGTATTTTTTCTCAAATCACCACAAGAATGTCAGCACCGGCAAGAAATACATACATCCAAAGAGAGCAAACGAATATGAAACTTTTATATACTTCTTTCTTATTAGTTTGGATTTTAAGTATTGTCGTTTTCTACTCAAATTTGAGAACTTTTAAAAGTAAATCACTAATTTATTGTACTACAACTTGTGTTTAAAAAAACAAAAAAAAATTGGGAGCAGAGAAAGAACATATGAAGGAGGAATTATGAGAATCAAACGTTCACCAACAAAATAAAATGCAGATAACTAATCAACTAAGCTATAAAATTTAGAAAAAATTCTTATGGCCAGAAAATTTTGCCAGAATGATATTTTATCTATATTATTTTACTTTTTTAAATATTTTTATCCTTTTAACTTTAATACATTTTAATTAAAAAATGAAAAAAAATCAGTTTATTTTAAAATGAAAAAGATATCATAATCTTTTTAAATTTCTGGCCAAATTCAAACCAAATTTGTTGGTCATTTAGCATTGTTGTTAAATTATAATCTATAGAGTTAGTTAAAGTATACCAACTAAGCCAAACACCATTATTATATATTAATAAAAATAAAAATGGCAAATCGAACTATCTTACTTTATCATTTAAAAGAAGAAAACTATTTTACTTTATTCTTTATTAGTTGAAGCTAACGTACGTGAAGTGACAACATAAATAAAGGGCAAAAGGAGTCTCCATTTAAATTAGGTAACTAATTTATCAAAACCTTTCCGTTTTTGTCACAATCACAAGAATCAGACATCACAAATGACTTCGTGCAATTTTACAATTAATTAAGAAAGCTTTCTCGTGTTATTTCCTATATAGTCTTTTGGGTCAATTTGGTTGAAAACAAGTTATTTTAAAATTAATTATTTCAATATAAGTTATTTTTCCATGCATATAAGATAATTTATCTCATCACTAAGATATAAATGATGAATACAGAATTCAAGAATCATCAAATATCTCTAACCAAACGCAAATAAAATACTCTACCCCTTACCGCTTTAGCTTTTGGAAAAGTTAAGATAGTATTAATAAAGCAAATTAAAAACAAGACACAATGAATTTGGCTAGCATCCGCAAAAACCTAAGAATTTATTCATATTCCATGTTTATATTAACTTAATATAAAAAAAAAATATTCTACTTACTAATTGATCATAATTAAGTTATAAAAAAATAGTGGAAAATGTGTCACGTATTATTTAATAATTACTGTATATAAATAGGTTGGCGCGTGAAGGAGTGTATGTTTACGTTAGGAGGGGGGAGTTGTTAGGTTAAAATAGGTGACATGCACGACATTTGAAGAGTCGAAGAAATGGTCCGTGAAACTAACGCGTCTTTAATAAAAGGAAGAGGGAACAACGTTGTAAGTCAGTCCCACGTGTTGCTATTTAATTTGTGGACCCACTGTTGAGTATTTTTGCTTATTATTATGGGCCAGGCCAGGCCACAATTTAAAGAGATCTTGGACCAGTTGGGCTCTTAGATGTAGTACCAACCTAAGAGCCCTTGGACCAGTTTGAGGATCTTTGGTGGGACGTTATTTGAACATGAATCGGTTGATATTTGAAAAAGGTCAAGTAATAAAATAAATATTTGAAAATTAAGTTGTGTGTTTGAATATGAAAATATAATTGAAGTTTCATGAGTGAAAATTAAAATAATCTATTTTTTAAATGTTGAATTTTATATTTCGAGTTTGAAGTTAAAATAATGAGGCAATCTTATAAACAAATACTACTACTTATTTGAAATAAGATCTATGTGAAAATAGATGTAGAAAAAAATTGAAGTTGTGTGTTTGAATATGAAAACATAATTGAAGTTTAAGGAGTAAAAAAACAGTTTTTCAGATTTTGAATTTTATATTTCAAGTTTAAAGTTAAAATAATGAGAGAATATTATAAACAAATACTACTACTTATTTGAAATAATAATAATAAGATCTTTAGGCAAACGGATATAGTGCAAATAGGATTTGATTTGATTTGATATTATGATTTGATCCCTTCATCAAGTGCATCAAGTGAGTAGTCATTATAATATATATTTTTCATTTAGATGTCCGATACTCATATTAGAGATCGATTAAATTTGGATAGTGTCGGAAAGTCTCAATTTTGGGAGTACAAAAGCGACTCGGTATCGAAAGAACTCGAACATGAAATCTTTAATAATGAAGGAGTACATACCATTTCATTACAATTCTTCTAGGTGGTGTCATTATAAATATTTGGTGATTGGCTAACGTGCAGGGAGTGAGTGTTGATGTCCTTATAAGAAATTCATGTGCGGTACAGTGGTAGTTGCTCAAATTTATAAATATTTCATTGGCGATTTGGTCCAAAGTCAGAACAAGATGGAAGAAGAAATAAATGTATAGGAAGGACAAAAACAACAAATTAGAATTTGCTTCTTTTTTCTAAACTGAATAAAAGTAGTGATGGCAACACCTGTCTAGCTGGTCGGAAAATGGCCTCACACATTTTCTACTCAAACACTGATTCAACATTTTATCCTACCATACATTAACGGTTTATTTATCTTTTGGTTGAATTCATCTTTTATTTTTGTCCTTAGTAATCAAACTTATAAATAGCCATGCATATTCTTTAAGAATGCAGGACATAACAAGATATTATGATCCACAAATATAAATTTATATCCCGCATATTTGTTTTTTTTTTTTAACCTTAAGAATAAAATTTAAGAACTAGCACAACTTAGAAACAAAAGTGCAAATAACCCTACAATATCTATTAGATGGTGATTTTACTCTAAGGTTCTGTCTTTTATTGGACTCTTGTAGTAAAATCAGTAACTTTCTCGAGCTGCAGTATTGTGTCATGATCCACCATTGAAAGAATCGTGAGTAGGTTATCAAGTGTCTCACGGAGCATTAGAAAGAAGTCTAAGTGTTGGGACTATATATGCAGTGGCAGAGGCACATAGGTGAGCCTGACCAACGAACATGTTTTACCGAAAAATAATAATATTCATATTGTGTTTATTGGCGAAATATTACTGTTATAAATTTGCATACGCTTGGTAAAATTTCTTGTGCTATCGCTAGAGCTATATATGTATGTCCCTAGCAGCTCGATCTATTGTAACACATGAGTATTGCTCGTGAATTAAAATTAAAATGAATCTTAAACCTAACTCATTATCAACTTCAAAAAATCATTCTTTAGATGAAAACTGTATAGAGAGATTATAGCTCATACCTCCAACAAGATGGTACATGGTGTGTGAATAATATAATATGAATACTCAGTATCAAATTATTTAAAAATATAAAAGGTGAATCTAACTTTAATATCATATTGAAAAAAATTAACATCAAGATAATTTAACTTCAAAAGCTTAGCTCAATAATCAAAAGTACACTCATACAATCACCCAATATGTAATTCGTTGATGCAATAATATGAGGTGTTAATTAGTTTAATTAGGAGGGAAAACAAATTATCGAATGTGTGAGTGTGACTCTGACTTGTTCTTCAATCATTTGATCTGACATAAGAGTAGTACACAATTGGATATTAGGAGTACTGTGATTAATGTGTACACCACACAACAACTGTTTATGATCTCACAATTCCATGGGAAAAAAGAACAAGACCCTCTTTTACTTTCTTCTGATCATGACAAAGTGTCTACTAATGTTAACCTTTTTAATGAGGGCATGAAATGTTAAATTTAAATTGTGGGTTAAAAGTTGATAATTTAATTTGTATTTCACTTAAAGTCTTGCCTCCTAATGTCAGTACTGCTATGTCCTACAACTTTTGTTAACACCAGTAATTAAGGGTGTGGCTAATTATAGCGTAATAAAGCAGTAAGCTAAGGTCCCCCATTGATTGAGTTGCATGGAAATGCGTGTTTGAAAATAAAGAGACAAATCAATACTAGTATATTTTATTTTATTTTTTACAAAATTGGTGGCAAAGGTAATGGAAGAAAAATTGCATTGGTGAAAAATCAAATTTTGATGGATCAGATAACTAACTAAGCTGCTACGATTCTCTCTAAACAAACCTGAATAGTATCGAGTTTTAAAAAAGGAAAAAAGAAATCTTACTTTACTGTAAACTTGATGACCTACTTTCCTCCGTTTGACTGTCGGCACCCCTTTAATAACAAATATACGTTTACATCAAATCTATATGTGAGAAATATACGTTTTATTTACTTAGTGCCAACGTCAGGCTATGATAAGATTTTGGATGGGGTACAACAAGGGTTGTGGTGAAGTGATAAATACTCTATCATCCTTAATCAAAGGTCTTTCGAGTCCCCCCCGGTTGTTTTGTCTTATTTTTCTTTATATCGTATTTATTTTCTTAAACTATATGTCAAGCAAAAAATAGACAAACAAATTAAAACGAGGAAAGTAATAATTCAAGAAATTCAACAGGCTCGATGCGAAAACCTTAAAGGTTGAATTCTTACCACATTTAAATCTTGAATCCGCCTCTATCACCCCCGCACCTCCTCCAGCGTTCCATCCTTTTTTGTCTTTTGGACATTAAGGAACTTTAACTTTTCCCATATTATATATTCAACTCAAGTCCAAGAGAAGTCTTTCATAAAAGAGCATTAGAGCAACATAAAAAATGCCTACATATTCTCCTGTTATCATGTCTATAAAGTATAAACTACTCCAAGTTACTTAATGAAGTAATCTGCAGCTAGTTAACAAATGGGCATTGCAGGTCACATATCCAATTAGTACTAAAAAACAGAAAGTTACATATGGGTGGTATGAAGGCTTTCTTGGGTGCTCTTGTTTTACTTAGTTTACTGTGGCTCATATTGTATGGTATTTTAGTCAATCATGAAACTAAAAATATCACTGCTACGACGATCGATCGTTTAGATTTTTGGAAGATAACACAAACTGAAAGGTATGATCTTCAAAAGAGTCTTAATTATGTGAGCAAAAGAATTCAAATCAATGCCATACCAAACAGGTAAACATGTTGCGATCTCCCTTATTTTCCAAGTTTTGTAATCTCATATATTATAGACAATTGCATGTAGTAATCTTTTCGATGATCTGATAGTGTAGAAAAATGCAGAGTTACATTTAGATGACTTAAAAGTGTAACATACCGAGTGTATATAATTAGTCAAATTCTTTTATGTATATACTTGGTTATTCAGGAAAGCAGGGAAAGGAACTAGGGCTGCCACCAAAAATGTAAGTGCTAGAGCAATCAAACATGTAGATGTTTGGAAGATAATAGAAGCTGAGAAGCAATATCTTCAAAGAAATCCAAATTTCAATTATGTGAGCAAAAGAAGAGTGCCTACTGGACCAAACGCCATTCACAACAGGTTTATTTATAGCTACATATACTATACCATCTTTTTTATTTTCAAGAAAACAAACTTTATAGTTAATAAAGTTGATGTTACTTGGTTTTCAGGAAAGTAGGGGAGTATAGAGAGCCACCCAAACGAGCTTGAGCTTAGGAAGACACTTGAAAGTATCATATTTACAACTTACATTGCAGTGAAGACGAGTACGATTTTCTTAAATATTTTGAATTATTAACTAGTACATATACTTTTTATGTTTGTTTCATATTTCTGATGTATCGATGTTCGAAATCACACTGCACTACATGAATGGAATTCTAAGCAATGAGATTAAAATCAAAGAGGGAAAGTAGATTGGCAAGCAAAACTTTTCAAGACCGATGAAAGATGAAAGAAGGATGTGATTTGAATGTAAAAGCTTTTCACTTTTTTTCTTCTTCGTCTTATTTAATCTATGATTGCGACACTGTAAAAGATGTACAGAAATATTAATTACTTTAGGGGAGTCTTTCTTGAATGATTAATTATGTAGGAACTTTTGACGGTTCAAAGGAGAAAGCTTTTTGCTTTCTGGTTTGAATGAAATTAATTTTTCTTCAAGACAAAAGTAACTTTATAAAGCAAAGCTCCTGCACGAGACAAAAGTTTACTTTTTTAGCCATGAATGATGCCCATTAAACTGCAATTATTAGATTTTACCCTCGCTTAACCCAATGTTTAAATTTTCGGTGGCATTCTAGATGTCCAAAAAGTTTGCCACAATGTTCAAAAGGTAGAATTCTCAGTCTCTGAAAGATCAATCACAGAAGAAGGTAACAAACTAGAGACTCTTAGAAAAATCAGAAGCAAAACTCAACAATGAGAAGGCGGAACCCAGGTGCTACACTAAATTAGGTGTTGTTACCTGAGGCTGCACACTCTCATATAAGCAATTGCACATGCATGATCATTATGATTCCAGTTGAACTTGTTTGGATACCAAACGACCCCTAAGAGTCCATAATCCATATTTCAAAGTCACAAGGTCAAATTTAATAACCTAATTAGTTGTCCCTTTTCTGCTCTCTCGTAAACTGAGTGGAAAAACACGTTTAATGGAATAAGTTTCTATGTATAAAATTCAATGATAGTGAGGGTGTCATTTGGTCAAGAAATTTAATGAAAGCTAAGGCTGAAGGGTATTTTGTGAGACGTGTGATTTGTGTTTGTGGAAAGTCATTACCCAGGCCATCAGTCTAACAAAAGAAAGCTGCTCTACCTTGAAAATCACTATGGAGTATGGACATGGGATGTCCAATGACCAAGTCAATCCTATTCTAGATATCTTCTTATAGATGCTGCTTACCTAGATGTGGTGCAAGTTAATTGTCCCTCGAAAAGCCGAAATGAAGGTGTCAAGACGAAAAGACCAGTAATTCTGAAAGTGACTGCAGTTTCCTCATAAGCTTATTCCTCAGCAGATCGATGCTTTTACCGACTAACAACATATGTCACATTCATATATGCTTTTAAGTTACACAGATTTTGGATAGTTAAACATGAAGAAATGACAAATATATAAACATCAATAGAGAATACAAAACTCGACCTTCATAAAACTTGGCTTGTAAAATGGAAGAACAAGGAATGTTAAATCATTTCAACAAATACATAATGACAAAGTGACCATATAATGAAACATTCAAACAGAGCGAAATGGGATCATCTATAATGAATATATTACACATTCCAAATAAGGATGTTGAAAATTTTCAAGAGAAAAGCTATATGATATTGTTAATAAACATACACACAAAACACATTTATATGTCAAAGATTGGTTGAATTTTTTTTCTCAAATCAAACCAATCAGATGTCAGATCTTTTAGTCAGTTTGATCAGATATTTTGGTATACAGAACTAGTTGTAATCAACAAACAAATAAAAAAGGGCATTCATTCAACATTAATAAGCAAACGGCCCCATTGGCTTCCAAACAAGAGCTAGACAGGCAGTAAATAGTAATATAGACCAGTTTCCAGTAAATGAGACGTTCAGTTGAGAATCCTTTGAATACATAACATCTAATGCTATAGGCAATGGTAATCACAAACATGAACAATAATTAACAGCTGCTTCCTATACTACAAATATCAAGCAAGCAAATACTTAAGAATGATTTGTGCATTTTGCAAATATAATACAGAAACATTTAAAGGGTGTACTTCTGAGCCAATCAAAACAGTGCCATGCCACTTACACCAATAGGAACTGAAAACTTACAACAGGATGCATCATGTTCATTTGGAGTGGAACATTTAGTAATAATTTCGCAATTCCGGCTTCAAACAGGGCTTCTAGTAGCACCTTCTTTGCCAAATAGTAACGGGAATTCGTCATACTGTTCGGAGAAACCCTGTTTTTCAGCCATGCTCTGAAGTGCTTCATAAACCTGATACATAGACCACCTATCATTGGGCCGAGAAACCACAGAATTACAAGCAACTTTTAGGAATTGCACAATCTCTTCATCATTCCCCTTCCCACGCATGTTTTGGTCAATTGCATCTTTAATGCGACCTGAAGCAGAGAGCTGATTCACCCAGTCTACCAAATTACCCTTGAATCCCTCTTCACCAGCAGTAACTTCAAGAGGTTTTTGCCCAGTAGCCAACTCCAAAAGCACTACCCCAAAACTATAAGCATCCCCTTTCAGTGAAGGCACCATTGTGCTAGAGTACTCTGGAGCTACATAGCCAAATTCACCCAACTCCCCATTCACATAACTAGACTCTTTTGCATCTGATGTCATCAACCTTGCCAGCCCAAAATCCATTACTCTAGCATCAAAGTCTTCATCGAGGAAAATAACATTAGAGCATATGTTTTGGTGCAAGATAGGTGGGTGGACACCATGATGTAACCAAGCAAGGCCCCTAGCAGCACCGAAACCAATTCTAAACCGAGTAGGCCAATCCAGTTCACTTGCATTCCCATTCAAGAATGAGTGCAAAGTACCATTTGACAGGTGTTTATAAACCAAAAGCTTCTCCTCTTCCACAACACAAAACCCCAACAGTGGCACCAAATTAGGATGCCTAAGTTGTCCTAGCCTATACATCTCATCACGAAAGTGCTTCTCGCTCAGTTTGCAAGTATTAAGCCGCTTAATGGCAAGTGCAGAACCATCACGTAACACAGCATTATAAGTAGTACCCATTCTAGTTGAGTTGATAACATTGTCCGTCCTGAAACCATTTGTGGCAATCAACAAATCAGCTAATTTAACCTTGACAAGCGGTTTCTGGAACAACATAACCTGAGTGAGCTTGTGAGCCCTCAGCTTATCAGCCCAACTATCAGAGTCATCTCTCCCAACTCCATACCCTCTCTTCCTCTTTCCAGACTTGGTAAAAAACCAATACCACGCACCAAAAGCCAACAACATAGAAGCAGCAGCACCAAAGACTCCTGCTGCAATAATAATAGCTAAGCTTTTCTTACTTAGTCCTCCACATTTCCCCAAAGGTCCACCACAGAGACTATTTCCTTCAAAATTAAAGTTAGAAGAATCGAAGGCTGCCGGGATTCTACCGGAGAGTTGATTATTTGCCACAGAAAAACTTTTAAGCCTACCAAAACTAGAAAATTCAGGGGGAATATTTCCAGTAAGCTTGTTATCACTGAGCGATAATTTATTCAAAAAGATGCATTTAGCAAGATCAGCAGGGATAGGGCCGGAATAATCGTTACCGGACAAGTCTAGGGTTACCAAAAAAGGTAGCCATGTACAAATTTGAGAAGGAATTGGACCAGAAAAGCGATTACCAGAGAGATCAAGGGTTGTCAAGCTGGCACAATACTGTACAGGCTCTGTAACCTTCCCTCCGAGGTTTATATTCGAAAGAGAGAGACTGATGATGCGATTTTCGTTGTCATTCCAGCAATTAACACCCGTAAACTTACAGATAGCTCCGACAGTAGTATTTTTAAAGTTCCATGAATTCAGATTCCCATCTGGATCTTCCAAAGACTTCTTAAATCCTTCTAAACACTTGAGATCATCTTCAACTACAGTAGCATCAAGGCACGGAAGAACAAGAGAAATCAGAATCAACAGAAGAAAAAGGAGAAATCTGAAACGAGCCATCGTTAGCTGGGGGGTTTAGGGATCCAACAGCAGTTTTGGGTAATTGGCACAAGGTGTTTGATAATATGCGCAAGAGAAATAGGTAGGAAATAGCAAGGAGAAGGAAGATGAAGACTGTTGAGGCATTTGACTTGACAAATGAAAACCCAGTCTGTTATTTTACAAGTATGAGTGGAGCCTTTAGAAGCTAGCTACTAAGAAATTATTTTAATGTATAAAAACAAACACAAAATGCCAATGACTTAAAACTATATTTGAATATACAAAAAAGTTGGCTAAATGAAGCAACTTTTGACAAATCTTTTGAAAGCATTGATGTTTCAATGTGATATTATTAAACCATGCTTATCTTATATACTACTAAAATGTATACTTCTTCCATTTCAATTTATTTGTGTTACTTTCTTTTTAGTTGATTTAATAACATATACAAATCACAACATTGGAAAACATTTTAATATATTTTACATATATATTTAAAGATCATAAAATTTAAATGTTTTATTTACTTTTAAATTTTTTTGTGTTAAATTAAAATGAAAAGAATATTTATATGGGATCTATTTATATTGCTGAATCAAATACTCCTTTTATACCATCTCTATGGTTGCGCCTTGAATACCCAATTAATTGATAATTCATTGAATTTGTTTTTTCTACAAAATCTACTTTGGAATATCGATTATAACTCTTTATAGGTTATTGGATTTATACATAACTTACAATATGGTATGAAATAATCATTGGATTAAAATTTTAGGTACTTTGTTTTTATTTAACTAAAATAGAGTTATTAGAGAGATTAGCAAATAACAAGTAAAATAGTAGTTATGATACACACAAATTAATTTGAACACCATTATTATTTATTAAAAAAGATCATGTATTTTTTATTGGATTAATTTTTTCATTTTGTTAAAACATAAAGAATTTGTCTACTTTTAAATTTTATCTTTACTTTTGTATCTTTTAAACTTGTTTTGAATTTTAAAATATCAATTCGATAGTCTATCCCACAAAAACAAAGGTAATACCTGTGTAAAATTACACTAAATTATTATTTCTGATTTAAATTCTGATAAAGAGTTTCCTGAACAATATTTTCATGTATACGACTTGGTCAAGCATCATAATTCAACCTTTATTTAGTAAAATGAGTTAGTTAGTTATTGAGAGTTAGCCAATTATAGTCTAATCAATACTACTAATATCTTTGAGTTATAATAGAAATTGATTTTCAAAATCTAAAAAGGTAATTTATCCTATAAAACATAGTTCAAACACAATTATTACTATTAAAAATATAAACATGAAAATATTTGTAAAATTT